AGGAGGGAAAAAATCTCCGACCAGCGACAGCCCTAAGTGGACCCCGAACTCAATACAAAACCATTGTGAACTATTGCAGGCGGCACTCAATACAAAACTAAATATTGATTTTATTTTAATGCATTGCTGTTTTGTTGTCAAGAATCTTACTCACAGTCAGCTCTCAATCGGGAACCGTCGGCATTTTCCGTAAACGAGAGGTTTACGGAAAGAGGGAAAGGCAAATGTACTATCGTTGATGGTCAGAGAAACGGATGTGATAAATATGGATGATAGGATGAGGGTATAAAACGGAAAGATACATAACTGCAATTAACACTGTTTATTGGGGTAAGGGGAAGAGACAACAGAACCAAAAGATTTGACAAGGAAGATACACTTTGGGATGGAGGTAGCGGTGGTATATATGGGACAGAGAAAGGGTTTGGTAGAAGCTGGCTGAAATTGACGCTTGAGAATACCACTAGTTAGGCCACTAATGTAAACATATGGACGATCAATAGCTGTTGTCAGACTTCTTATTATAGCAGACATGTCACGACGATTAGGCAGCCAAAATATATATTTACAAATTCTTTGTCCTAAGTAGATACGAAAAGGCACGTACACGTTGAGTACGGTCCAACTCCGACAGCCATAACATATTTCATAACGTGACACCTAACTTGTGTTATGACTTTAAACCCAAAGTCAAGTGGTATCATCCTGTTTGACATATTGAATTTCCCGACCTAGATATTGTTCAAATTATGTGTTCTCTCTCTCAAAAAGATTATCTGGCGCGTCAACATAATTTACTTCATAAATAGGTTTCACGTATTAGACGTGTTTTATTACAATCTGAGGAGAAATGCAAATTGTGAAATTAGAATTTTATAAATATTTAACCGCCATTGAATAAAGGTTCTTAAAGAAAGCAAAAGAATGCCGATATGTAAACAAAACTGTCATTCAAAGTCAAAATCGATGAACTAAGGCAAAAGAAACAATATTAAGACCAGATGTTTTGCAGTGTACGCGTATTCTGATTCAGCGAAGACACTCACCATGTATATCTGGGTCAAACTCCAGCAATGTCACGTATCAAATAAAGACAAGTGTTTCAGAATCAAACGTTATTTTAAAGTTATTCAGGTGAATAAACAAAATAGTAAACTAGAGCAACTATCACATAATGATATGCACTATAGCGATATCACATCTTCGTTATTGAACCACCTGGCGACAGCTGGGCACACATATCAACAATCAAAATGGCGTCCTATAGTGAGCAATACAAAAATTTGCGGTTTGAAAATCGCGGGTATTAAAATTTGTCACATTCTGGTTGGTTGAAAAAGACCGTAATAGAAAACTTCGCCGGGAAACCTGCAATACCAATACCGATCACGGGAGGATAAAGGCCTATCCGATATCAAATGATCAATAAGAGTACTATTGAGTGAATTTTAACAGTTTTGACCTCCTCACAGACAGGTTTTATGTTCGACTCAAAGGTCTACTGATTTCAATATGTGTATGCCACGCAATCAACAAGGCAACAATCGTCAGCTAGGCCTGTGCAAATCTAGTCGCTTTCAGAGCAAAGAAGAACAGGTAAGATGAAGAGTTTCGTTGTGGGAGGAGGTCAAGGGGATTCGAGAAATCATTTAGGCGGCAGGCCTATTGCTGATAGTAGGTCGTAAGGAAAATACATTGTCTAGATGCACAAACTGTATTTAGTGACGTGTTAAAAGTTTCTATTTCGATTCAATTTTGTTTCTTTTATTCAATAAAAAATACAACGAAACTTACAAAAGATGACAAACATCATACACATTCCATTAACTTTACCTGTACAATTTCTTTAATCATCATTATTTCTAATATTTGTTCTACATTTTAATTGTATCTATTTAATGAAGGTGTTAATTGCACTTTATTCTTTGTAAACAAATGATATATACATGCATGGTAATGATAAAAGCATATTTGCCAACCTTTTGAATTTTTTATAGGGGAGGAGCTGTGTACTCAAAATAACAAAACATTAATAATTATAAAAGATGTCACGTGTATATGCCCCCTAGGTAAAAGAATAACACTCGAGAGTGTCGATCATCTTTTGAGTTGTTCTTTCTGATAAACTCATTAGGTCTTACATTATCAGAATAGTTGCAAATTTACTGGCTGTAAATGGTCAATTTTAGCACAAGTCAAGCCTAAAAATCAACTGTGTCACATTGTATGTACAGTAATATATAACTTCTAGCCAGGCTATAACTTCATTAATTAAACATCCAAGTTTGATATTAGAGAACAGAGCAGCCTCAAGATTTTCTAAATGAAAATATAATAAAACATAACAAACAAGTCAACATTATTACAGAACTTTTTTCTTGCACCTAGCTGTGTCGATGTGGTCTCATTTGATTACTAAATACCGGTATATGTAATAATGGATATATAAAATTTAGATATATTGTTAGCTCACCTGGCCCGAAGGACCAATTGAGCGTATTCCATGGTGCGGCGTCCGTCGTCCGTCCGGCGTAAACTTTTTATTTTAAACAACTTCTTCTGAATAACCAAGAGACCCAGGGTGAAGATATTTGGCCAGTAGCATGCTGGGATAAAGGGCTACCAAGTTTGTTCCAATAAATGACCTTTGCCCATTTTCAAGGTCACAGGGGTCAAATATGTTAAAATATTTCAACAATTTCTTCTGAATAACCAGAAGACACCGGATGATGATATTTGGCCAGGGACATGCTGGGATAAACTACCAAGTTTGTTCAATTGAATGACCTTGGCTTATATTCAACGTCACAGAGGGACGAATATGTTTAAAACTTTAAAACAATTTCTTTTGAATAACCAGAAGGCCTAATGTGTTGATATTTGGCCAGTATTATACTGGGATAAAATGATTCAAAGTTTGTTCAAATAAATGACCTTGACATAAATTCGAGGTCACCGGGGTCATATATGTTTAAAACATTTTAACGACTTCTTGTGAACAACCAGAAGGCCCAATCTAAGGATATTTTGCAATTAGCATGCTTGGATGAATGGCTACCAAGTTTGCTCAAATGAATGACCTTTGCCCATTTTCAAAGTCACATGGGTAAAATATGTTTACAATCTTTAAACGACTTCTTCTGAATAACCAAAATGCCCAAGAGGATGATATATGGCCAGAAGCATGCTTGTATAAAGGGCCACCAAGTTTGTTAAAATGAATGACCTTTGCCCATTTTCAAGGTCACAGAGTTGAAATATGTTTACAATCGTTAAACGACTTCTTCTGAATAACCAAAATGCCCAGGAAGATGATATATGTCGTCCAGAAACATGCTTGGATGAAGAGCTATCAAGCTTGTTCATTTGAATGACCTTGACCCACTGTCTAGATCACATTTGGTCAAATATTTAAAATATTTAAACCACTTCTTCTGAATAACTATAAGGCACAGGATAATGAGCTTTGGCCAGTAACATGCTTGAGTAAAGGGCTACTAGGTTTGTTCAAATGAATAACCTTTGCTTTTATTCAAGGTCACAGGGGTCAAATATGTTTAAAACCTTTAAACGACTTCTTCTGGATAACCAAAAGGCGCAGGAGGATGATATTTGGCCCGTAACATGATTAGATAAGGGCTACCAACTTTGTTAAAATGAATGACCTTGACTTATATTCAAGGTCACATGGGTCATATTTGTTTAAAAACTTCAAACGACTTCTTCTGAATAATCATGAGGCCAAGGATGTTGATATTTGGCCAGTAGCATGCATGGATGAAAGGGTATCAAGCTTCATTTGAATGACTTGACCCACTTTCAAGGTCACATTTGGTCAAACATGTATAAACCTTTAAATGACATAATCTCAATAAAGAAAAGTTCAAGTGTAGTGATATTTAGCAAATTGCATCCTGAGATGAAGGGTTGAAAACTTTGTACATTGTAATGACTTTGTTCGACTTTCAAGGTTACAGGGGTAAAATGTTTTAACGTCTTTAAACAGGTTCTTTTGAATGATTTATGATCATAAGTACTGATAGTTTGCTGATAGTTTTACTTTAGATCACCTTTAAGGTTACAAGTGTGAGATTAATACCAGGTGAGCGATGCAGGCCCATTGGGTCTCTTGTTCCTATATACAGTAACCACCCCTTAACTTTCGTTTTGATATAACTGTAAAGCAATTGGGCCAAAACGCCTCCTTCGACTAGGTAGCTCAATTGGTTAGAGCGATAGTACAGCAGTCTGAAGTTACAGGGTTCGAATCCGGGTCAACTCTTTAGTGATTTGTTACAGTCAGAACATCGTTGTTAATGGTTATATTTTGTTTATTGTATCTTATTCTTTGTCATAAAGGTATTATTTTTTCAGATTGCAGAATATTATATTCGATGCCGTTATTGTAGTATATTTTCATTCATCTCCTAAAGCATTTTTCTATAAATACTTATTTGGTAACAGGCAATCTGAAATTAAAAAAAAACCACAACGTAAACAATTTCATCACATATTAAAACTGTATCAGGCACTTATTAATATATTTGACGTATATATTTAACAACATATGACGTATGTAAAACGTCATAATATAATATCTTATTATATGACTGGTGCTAATTCCCAGCCCTGATTGGAGGAGCGATGTCATGTGACCAGTCTGCAAATAAGTTACAGACCTCGTTCTATAAATAGAAAAGTGTTTAAGACCTCGACCTATAAATAGAAAAGTATTACAGACCGCTACTAAAATAGGCCTAGGTAATTTCCCAGCCAGTCTGTGATTCTGTTACCAATCACACTCCTGAATTCAACAACAAATGTGTGAATATTGACGATGTCGATTGTCCAAATAATATTTACTCGAAATTAAATATCACATGAATTGAACCTGAAAATAAATTTGCGGGTATGTTATTTTGTATTTGAAGTACTTCACTCTGTGATTCCAAAATATTCCATGCCATCCATGTGTTTATGACTTGAAAATTATTAATCTCATTATAAAATGTCATATAATAAAACTATTATGAACTTCAGTTTCGGTCTATCCCTGATTTACGAACCTGGTCCTATGAGAACATATGAGATGACAAAAACAAATGATATAATCTATATACAAAAATGTTAACATTTCGTTTTCTTAATACAATAATTCATAAGAAATATTTTCAAGAACTGAAATTGCTCTGGTCTTTCTTCCAGATCTAATCGTATCGTTCACCGTTCTTTTAAGTCGAATGTATGACGGCAAATTCCAACAGATGTTTGGTAGGGTCAAGAAAAGTAGTCAAAATGCAACAGAAAGCACAGAAAAGTCCTCCTCCTGAGTGCTGCTTCACTTTGTTTCAAAACATTTTCTTCAGGTTGGTAAGTAAGTAATGTTTCGATGACTCGAGTCATCTCGGTACATACATAACAACTATTGTACATTCGCTTACAGCGTAGCGGAAGCGACATCGATTTTGTGTACAACTCGTACACATTTAACACTTTTGTGTTCGTACGCTTCACTGCCCATTTGTCTGATGAAGGTGACAGTGTTCATACCGTACTAGTCATTGGAACGTCACATATAAACACTTATTGGTTGTGTAAAAAGAACTTTTCATAATCTTTACTTTGGTGTTAAAGGCCTACATTTTGGACGGCATGCATTGCAGTTGTGACAGACATTTTGTTTGCAACAAAAAATACAGAAGATCCCGTTAAACGCGGAACAGTAACTAAATTTACGATGAAATCAAACACTGTACTTTCTTTACCTATTTGTATTTTTTTTCAATATCCAAACACTTTCCTTTTAACATAGTTTTGTTATATATACACAGACCGTCGTCACCGACGTGTTAAATCTTCTAACAAAGTTTCAAAGATACATAGATATTAATCATTCTATAGTACTTATCATACAAAGCTGCCAATTTTATAGTATGGACGGTTGTTTCAGTCTTTACACCAAAAGCGTTCACAAACTTATATAAGATCAAGAATACAATGTTCAAACAAAATATTTTCCATATGACCCACATATAGAGTAACTGTTTTGCAAGACAAAATAAAACGATAAGAATCCTCTCAGTTGACCTTTGCTAACCCGGGCTATTTGTTTATATAAACTTAACAATATGAAAATGAATTTCAGGATATTTTTATTCATGATTAACAAGAAACACTGTATCGTTTGACACCCATACACAAGTTCTGGGCCGGTAAACAGTTTATAATTAGGTGCGAATTCCAAACGTGCGGAATATTTACTCCATAGCAACATATAATATTTCCTGAGGTTGTTAAAATTGCCAAAGGACAAATACTAAGGTCTTGCAAACAACTACCAACTAATAATTTCTATGTTTTTAACATATAGTTTAATATGCATTTTTGACTATCTAAATGGCCACAGAGGAGAGAAGATTAAAATCCGGATTTTAAGATCGTGTTGAAAAATCCAAAAACGTTTCGAAAATGTTCAGTTGTCAGATGTACAATTATTCTAGTTTGTAACAGTCAAAATTTTATCTGTATTCTTGCCTATGTAGAGTGCGCGCTGTGCATTTATCTTAGTTATAATTTTGTACTTCATCGTAATATACGTACACATTTCATCTAAGATATGGTCAAGTTTCTCAAGACAACTAAGGACGGAATAATGACAATTCACACTAAAACATATTAAACAATGCTGCTGACCAACATATGATCCACAGCTGACAACCTGTACAACTGACTCTTATACAATACTTTTTCTGGGTCAGACATTGTTCATCACAGGGAGCAACATAACCGTACGAGTCAACCTGAAATTGAATGGACGGCTTCATTTAGTACACATGGCAACTCTCAAATCAAAACAATTACTTAATATTCATTCGAATTAAGAATGAAGTTACTGAAACAATGAATACCATGCAGATTGTGACCATTATACATGAGCAGAGCATTTGCTTATTCCAACATTTAATTTGTTGTAAGCATTGTGATTTCGGCATCAAGAAACACTGAAGAGTTCTAAATGGATGCATCTGTCACATGGTGCATTACATTGTTTACTTTATTTGTCCTTCTTCATCTACTGATATTTTTTTCGTATTTCTATTGATTTGTAATTAGTTTTCAAAAACAACACAACGTATTGATGTTCAATACTCTGCTCATGTATAATAATTTCACAAAATTGCTATTTAAACCTTTAACAAATACGTATTTTTGTTGATAACAAATAATAAAATGTATGAAATGTATTTTTAAACATTTTTTATGTTAAATTCGACAAAATGTACTCCCACTACCATTTAAGCTTCCATTCAATCAAAGCGTCTAGCTTTAGCGCAATACTAGCATTATGAGATATGTATTTTCACGTAAGGATATTCTAACAACTTGCATTCCTTTGTACGCCATCACTTATTTAGAAACCACCTGTCTTTGACAGTAAAACCAGGCTATCTGTAATTATAGGTAAGTCTGCCTTAGATACCGATGTCTATACCTACAGTCAAACCTGTCTAAGTTAAAACCTATTTTAGAGACCATCTGTCTACAACTACAGAAAAAAATGCCTTAGAGTCAAACCTATTTATAGGTACTGGAAAAACAGCAGAAAAAAAACATGTATATATTTACATTAAAACCTCATGCAAATGTGTTTGGCAGACTATATTACTAAGTCGATGACTGGTTAAACTTGCAACGGTATATAGGGAAATATGCCATTTAGACAATTGTCACTTATTAAACCTGCTTTAGAGACCTCCTGTCTACAACGAATCCTGTCTTAGAGACCACCTGTCTGTTACTTGTTACACCTGCCTTAGAGACCACCTGTCTGTTACTTGTTAAACCTGCCTTAGAGACCACCTGTCTGTTACTTGGTGAACCTGTCTTAGAAACCACATGTCTGTTTCTTGGTAAACCTGCCTTAGATACCACATGTCTGTTAGTTGTTAAACCTGCCTTAGCTACCACCTGTCTATTACTAGTCAATCATTCCTTTGACATTGTCTATCTTTCATATGCTAAACCTGCCTTTGATACTACCTGTCCTTACCTACTGGTAATTAGACAAGTTTTTTTTCTTATATTGCTGCATCAATCTGTCTCATAGGGCCATTATCTTATAACAAAAATAGTATCTGAAAACGATATTGTTTGAATGTTAATATGGCGTTCATGTCATAATGTCCTCACGTAAAAATATGTAATGTCAAGCACGATAAAAATATATAATTTCCAGCACGATCAAAAAACAAAAGTGGTAAATAAAACGTAATAAGTTTGTCATTGTGATAATTTCGATTTTCCCTGTAGTTTTTTCATAGATTACTATCAAATTTGTAAAAGACACTCAGTAAACCTCGTACCTTTACACAATTTGGAAATTTACTAACCCAGGTTAGATAAACATGATAGCCAACCACCACTAGTCGGAGAACAACTATTTTTCCAATTAATATAAAATAAAATGAAAACGTAGTAATAAGAGTAAATATATGTATAAAATACTAACGTTGGAAACGTATTAACTTAGTTCAAAGTTTAAATATGCAAAGGTGCATATGTAAGTGTGCATGTGTGAGACTAAATGGACCCGATCTTGTGTGAAATAACGGTTGTAATAATGTCTGTAAATCGTTCAATAACGTTGTCTTTAGGGTCTATATAATTAAATGAACTTGAGCAAGTCTACTATGTCTTGATCAAATGCGATCGTGTAGACTTGCTTAAGTCAATATATATAGACATGAAGGTTAATTATAAATATGATGACTGATGGCCAGTTTGGTATTAAATGTGCGGTGCTGGATGTGCTCGTGATCTGCCAATGATTCTGAATTATATTATGCTTATAATTTGAAATTATTGAAATTTTAAATTAATTTAAATGCATAATCCTATATCTTGACTGAGGCTCACAAAAGAACATATGAAGCTAATTTCCCTTTCTTAATAGTTGTTCCATCGAAACCTATGACGATAATGACCAAGTAGCATCATCAACTGTCTACTCCAGTTAAATCTTTCTCGTGAAATTGGCATACAACGTTTGAGCTATTTTGACTCTTACTTTAAATCTAATGAATTCAAAGTACATCAATTACTAATAACCTACTTTTCAAAGAAGTATAAATGAACCACTATGATAGGCATGCAATAGCGACAATATATATATATTTCAAAGCACTGTAGTTAAAATGTTTTTACCAAAACCAAATGATATATACGACTCCTTCACATACTTGTTTTTTTATCATACAGTGTAGAAACAGATATTTTTAGACACCAACTATAACGTATGAAAATGCTGTGTACAAATAAAACGTCAATGTAACCAAAACGGGACACATTTTAGTTAAATATGGAGGGATATCGAATCGAAAATGTTTTGTTCATTTTATATAATAGATATCATCCTTTTTTCTTTTCTATGATGAGCTGAAGTTTCGTCAAATGGTTTTATAGATAGAACGCTACATGCTAACAGGGTTACGTAGGTTCTTGTACAGGTGAAATCGTAACATGAAAGGAACACTTCGATATTTTGGCAAATACTTAGACAATAAGCTGAGAAAATTACACCCAGTTCAAGCATTTAAGAGTCAAAAAAGGTTCTGATTAACCTTTTCCCCAAAATAGTATTAGTTTTGAAAAAAATAACTTTCTAAAAATAACATTCGAATAAATAGCCTCGTATGGCACGTAAGTTAGGAAAGTGATGTTTTCGATATTTTTCTAACCTTAAACTATCTGTGTTACCATAATGAACCAACCAATAAAATGTGAAGTTCAAATAACATTAAAGTATCATGTAGTAAATACTGCATACATAAACAAAAATTCGCATTTCAATTTCTTGTGCCACTTTCCTACAAGTGCTCCATTTTAGGTACTGTCCCGTTTTGCGTTCTATTTTTGGGTACTGTGCTGTTTTGCGTTCTATTTTGGGTACTGTCCCGTTTTGCGTTCTATTTTGGGTACTGTCCCATTTTGCGTTCTATTTTGGGTACTGTCTCGTTTTGCGTACATTGACGTTAGGTAGTATACAGAGTGTAATTACAAATATGACGTACTAGCTTTTTGTTATATAAAGATATAAAACATACATACCAAGTTAGGGAATAAGAATGCATGTCTTACCTAATATTCGCCATCGTCCTGCATAACATAAAAACAAACTATGAAAGTAATACAAACATTTATAACAAAATAGTTATAATGTATGAATAGTTACTGGTCTATTGAAATAATTGTACTTTGAGATAGCAATTGCTACTAGATAATTGTTTTCTCTGTAAATTGGTAGGAACTATAAAAATCGATCAAACTTGTTAGTCGTAGATTATCAAAGACACGTGTACCCCTGTTACGATTGATCACAGTATGGCGTTAATCGTATTTGATTAACCGTAAAAAGTAATTTATCACTAGACTATGTGTTCTCATTTGATTTTTTGTTTTGATGTTCTGTTATATGGTGTATAACTTCTTTAATTTTCAGCAAGAAATATCACATTCAATATTATTTTCATTGGAATCTAACGTCAAAGTCATCCTAAGATTCATTGCAACTGACATTTACGGTCCACTGTTGTTATCTACAGAAATGTTGCTATTTCCGCGTGTCTCTTGATAATCCTAGGGCAAGCTTTCCCTGTCAGCTGACGAAGCGTGGAACGTGTCCTGCTGACTTATCGTATCTTGAATCTGTGTGATGTTAATGTAAGAATCAGGTTTTGGTTCGGTTGTTCAGAACTGATATCATCTTTCATCTCATTCTGACCATGTCCGATCTCATCTTAAACGTTCGTTTCTTGGGGTTCATTGTAGCTGGCATTATTTCCCGATCCAATGTCGCGATCTTTCTGATTATTATCATTCCCACGCGTCTCCTGAATATCTGGTTGGGTGCTTTCCTTGTCGGCGTGTCCTTGGGCATATTGAAGGTGTGTGTTGTTGGTGTGAGAGTCAACAGTCTGGCCTTCCTTTTCCTCATGTCCCGGTTTTTTTTTACTGGTTATAGAATGGACAGTTTTAAAGGTTTCCCTTACCGGGGTACAAGAAGGAGAAGACCTTTCACTGATTTGATGAGGTAAAAGAACATCTTGTGTATCACTTTGCTCATTATCACTATTTCCTGATATTACCTGCGCTTTTCCTTCTTCGATCTTCGTTTCTTTTTCTTCTTTAATTTCCTTGTTTCAGTGAGTTCTATTGGCTCCAGTATATTGGTTTTCTGATTTTTATCCGCCAAGTCCAGTGGTTGCAGCTTCCGACCTCATGGTACAGCTTCCAGTTTCCTTCTGGGCGTGTCATTGCTTCCGTCACTGTAACATGCATGTAATTCTGTAATTCTTATAGAAATAGTGTCAGTAGATAAACCCACTCCTGAATAATAATTAAGTGATACATACTTAGTTTTAAACCTTCCCAACTATATCGAAGATGTAACCATTACACGGCTTCCGAAACAGAAAAACAAAAATATGATTTATAGAAAGTCAACTTGTTATTTGCTAAAATAAGCATAATAATGAAATAAAGAAAGGAAAACATTTCATAAGAATTCTATAATAAAAAATGGAAATTACATTACAAGCAGCAAACGACTGGTATATACACATTATTAGTCTTCAAAAGTTGCGCGGGAATCATTAAACTCTAGGCTTACATTAATATTTCCAATTGATGTATCGAAGTGTGGTTGCACTTTTTATTTTTTTTATTTTATTTTTTTATCAATTTCGAATGATTTCACAATCAGTTGATCAGATTCCTTTAACATTTTGGGGAACTCGGTAAGGCGTTAAAGCCAGTTCAATACCACATATTTGACCTTATGAGGCTTTAGTGCAATTCTTGACTTATTTTGTTAACCATTGTATGTTCAAACCGGTCGTTCTTGTTTTTGTGCGCTTTTATAGGTTAGCAGCTACAGCCATTTGATGACTTTTTAATTTGGCCACTTTGCTCAGCGGCTGCAGGTGAGGGATAGTTTCTGAGCATGTACAAACTGTGACATTCATCAAATACCATAGTTGCGGATTTGTCCTAACCTTGGACCAATATTTTATGTACATGTTCCATACTGGAGTATGTTTTGTCATATTTACAAAATAAACGGTCAATTTCAATTCAATCACGTGTTGGGTTATTTATGTTCATTATAGGTCCAACAAGCTTGCTCTGTCTGAAATAATGTATAATGATACATACCACTTTCAAAAGGCAGCGCCCTTCTTCGAAAGACGATCAAACAGTATCTCCTTTTTTCATTTTTATTCTATAAGCCAGACAATCTGTCTGAGGACAACTGAATCAATCACATCATTGTCAATACAAGTCAATAGTTGTTAATCTGATCGAGGACAACTGAATCATATCAATGTCTACACCGGTCATTAGTTGTCCGCCTGATCGAGGACAACTGAATCACATCAATGTATACACCGGTCACTAGTTGTTCATCTGATCGAGGTCAACTGAATCAGATCATTGTCTACACCGGTCATTAGTTGTTCATCTGATCGAGGACAACTGAATCATATAAATATCTACATCAGTTATTAGTTGTTCATCTGATCGAGGACAACTGAATCACATCATTGTCTACACGGGTCATTATTTGTTCGTTTGATAGAGGACAACTAAAATCAGATCATTGTCTACACCGGTCATTAGTTGTTCATCTGATTGAGGACAACTGAATCAGATCATTGTCTCCGCAGGTCACTAGTTGTTCATCTGATCGAGGACAACTGAATCATATAAATATCTACATCAGTCATTAGTTGTTCATCTGATCGAGGACAACTGAATCACAATATGTATACACCGGTCATTAGTTGTTCATCTGATCGAGGACAACTGAATCACATCATTATCTACACAAGTAATTATTTGTTCATCTAGTCGAGGACAACTGAATCACATCAATGTCTACACTGGTCATTAGTTGTTCATCTGATCGAGAACAACTGAATCAGATCATTGTCTCCACAGGTCACTTGGTGTTCATCTGATCGAGGACAACTGAATCACATCATTATCTACACAAGTAATTATTTGTTCATCTAATCGAGGACAACTGAATCACATCAATGTTTACACCGGTCATTAGTTGTTCATCTGATCGAGGACAACTGAATCACATCATTATCTACACAAGTAATTATTTGTTCATCTAATCGAGGACAACTGAATCACATCAATGTTTACACCGGTCATTAGTTGTTCATCTGATCGAGGACAACTGAATCAGATCATTGTCTCCGCAGGTCACTAGTTGTTCATCTGATCGAGGACAACTGAATCATATCAATATCTACATCGGTCATTAGTTGTTCATCTGATCGAGGACAACTGAATCACAATATGTATACACCGGTCATTAGTTGTTCATCTGATCGAGGACAACTGAATCACATCAATGTCTACAAGGGTCATTAGTTGTTCATTTGATAGAGGACAACTAAAATCAGATCATCGTCTACACCGGTCATTGGTTGTTCATCTGATCGAGAACAACTGAATCAGATCATTGTCTCCACAGGTCACTTGGTGTTCATCTGATCGAGGACAACTGTATCACATGATTGTCTCCACAGGTCACTAGTTGTTCATCTGATCGAGGACAACTAAATCACATAATGTATACACCGGTCATTAGTTGTTCATCTGATCGAGGACAACTGAATAACATCATGTCTACACCGGTCATTAGTTGTTCATCTGATCGAGGACAACTGAATCACATCATTCTCCCACAGGTCACTAGTTGTTCATCTGATCGAGGACAACTGAATCACATCATGTCTACACTGGTCATTAGTTGTTCATGTGATCGAGGACAACTGAATCACATCATTGTCTCCACAGGTCACTAGTTGTTCATCTGATCGAGGACAACTGAATCATATCAATATCTACACCGGTCATTAGTTGTTCATTTGATAGAGGACAACTAAAATCAGATCATTGTCTACACTGGTCATTAGTTGTTCATCTGATCGAGGACAACTGAATCACATCATGTATTCACCGGTCATTAGTTGTTCATCTGATCGAGGACAACTGAATCACATCATTGTCTCCGCAGGTCACTAGTTTTCATCTGATCGAGGACAACTGAATCATATCAATATCTACACCGGTCATTAGTTGTTCATTTGATAGAGGACAACTAAAATCAGATCATTGTCTACACCGGTCATTAGTTGTTCATTTAATAGAGGACAACTAAAATCAGATCATTGTCTACACTGGTCATTAGTTGTTCATCTGATCGAGGACAACTGAATCACATCATGGTCTACATGATTCATTAGTTGTGTATCTGATCCAACTTCGTCTGATTTTTCCAATGTTAGGAGTGTAAAAATATACAACTGATATTCACAATTATTCCTTTATCTTTATCGACGAATCGTGCAAACATATATAATACAAATCGTCTATCTACAACTGGATTGGAAAGAATGACGTTCCATAAAGATTTTTAACACATTCACCCCTGACACATTTGAACCCTTCTAATATAAAGCTTAGAATAGTTCATTAAGAAATGTCAGGGGTGAATGAGTTAAGTAGGTGTTCACAGGGATGATATATACTTCATATAAGATATAAACAAAGGAAACTGTTGTGCGTTTTGACGTATTTATTTATCATATCAAGACATCAAAACACTAAATGTACATTACAATAACATTCCTGTACAAACTATTTATTTCCATTTAATCTCGAACGAGTATAAACTTTTGAATGTCTAAGCGATCCAACACCATCGCGCCAACAAATAAAACATTTACATTGTTCAAAGATGAACGTAACATACACACACGTGATGCACCTTTAAAAGTGGGTAATATACACAGCATGCCAAACAATGAAAAACACTGCACCATACACATTCTAGGATTCGCCGGTGATGTTAGTGGCAAAGAAACTCCACAATGGAAAACCCCTTAATTTACGAGTTTCAAAATTAATAGGAGTACTGGTTATATTCAAGTAAAATCATAAGACACGTGTGTATATTATGAAACCTTCAACTACTCAAAAGAGATAAATGTGGCTATCAAGGTTATGGCAAACCCCGGAGGGACTAAACAATCCACCAACAGAGTCTACTACCTTGTATCTTGAAAGATGAACTTATCATACATACTTGCCATGCACCTTTAACATGAGGTAGGTCGGGTTTCATCGAAGACCAATGTTTGTCTACTGGATTTTACACAGGGAGTGATAATTAGTAATACTGAATATATATATTTCTAGATAACAAATTTTGGAAAGACATTTGATTACCAATAATCTTCTCTCTTGTTTACATACACGTGTGTCCAAACTTATAAAAATTCTTTTCTATGTTATCCGCAAACTAACGTTACCAATAGTTTAGGCCTTCTATGAATGGCGTGGTAATTATTTTCAACCAAAACGCTTAAGGACTAACGTACCATTGACAAACATTGTATCTTTTTTCCTTGTTTGACCAACGACTTGATGAATAATTTCAGAATTCATTACCTGTTGGAACTTCAAAATAAAACGAAAAAATAGCAATAGTGTTTTGAGTGTCAAAAAGGGAGCAAGACCAATATCCAAACCCTGGACCTCACATCATAACACTGTCACTATAACTTTATCTAAAGTCTAAAGTAAATAGCTTAAGCTGAAAAGAATTAACAAAAAACGTTCTCAACAAAGATTTAATGGAATATGTAAAGCTTTCACAGCTGATTGGTATGTTGTCTACGAGGCTATGAAACGGATTGCTGTAGTTCAATAAATGTTTTAACTGATAAATTTTCTAGAAATATATATCTAATGAAGCCGACATGTGGACAAATAAAATAATGGGTTTGCATGATGTTTGGGAAAGAAACATTACAGCGCATATTTCGTTTTACGAACAATATGGTTATATTTGAGATACTGTTTGGTTTGGTTTAATTTGTTTAACATTCTTTAACAGCTAAGGTCATTTAAGGACGTGCCTCCGTGTGTGTTGTGTATGCGTGCTTGCGTGTGTGTGTGCATGATACAGGGTATGTTGGTGCGCTTTCCTCCTTGTGATAGCGCGGTTGAGATACTGAACTCTCAGTGAAAACAATAGTACACAATACAAAATATCTGATAATCCAAGAACTAATTGCTTGTACACAATACACAACACTACACAGCATATATAAGCTTATATTATAAATTACAACAAACATGAATTTAAAACATGATGACAAGGGTATAGTTCGAGTTATGTAGATAATGACCGTAACTAAAACTGCTGTAACAATTCTGTCTGAAAAAAAATAATCTATATGGACACCAAGTAAGTCAGTAACGATTTTACACAAAGTTTACAAGAGACCCAGAGCGCCCGTATTGCTCATCTAGATATTCAAGCAATCATGGGGAATATTCTCAATAAAATTATTTTTGCAATTATTTTCATATATTGAGTCTCCTTGGCTTAAGAATGTTCCAGACTAAATAAAACGTAATACTACTCTATCCCAGCATGCTATTGGCCAAATATTGTCATCCAGGGCCTCCTGGTATTGCTGAAGAATTTGTTGAAAAGATATTTACATATTTGAC